TGTACGTCTTTTATACATGAATATGTGTCCCCGGTGTTCTAGGGAACTCACCAAGTGTCAGAAAACACAACCCTCTCTATTTTCCTCCATACCCAAATCTCTAAAAAAGGGGCTGCAACGGATCTGATAAAAACTGATCCAGATTTGAACACTGTCCTGACGTCAGGACAGTGGCGCTACGGCTATTGGGCCAACTCCACCAATCAGGAGGAGACAACCACGGCATAGAGTGGCGAAGTCCCTCCCACTTACTTCCGGGGTATGGGACCTTATTCCGGAAAAGTTATGCATTGAAGTCAATGGGGAGAGAAAACTTATCTTTCGATCCCGTTTGAATTGTGCCATGAATTACACATATGATGTTTGTCAATCTTAAAAAATCATTTCCATGTCAAAAAAGTCACAGTTTGTCTTAAAACTGTTGAAATATAAGACTTTGAAAAATACGAAACTAGAAAGACTACAAATCCCAGAGTCGCGTAAGTGATGTCACAATTGAGACACTACGATACACGTATAATACCGTATATATACGATCAGCGCCATATAGATAGAATCTATCTATATGGCGCTGGCTAAGATAAGATAACTTTGTGCCTGTGTGCTTAGTACCAGGTTGTTATTATACCAGCAATGGGTCTTGCTCGTTCTTTCGCTTCCCGTCTGATGAAAGAGGAGTGTGTGGATCAAGTTAGCTACCTAGCTAGTAGCTAGCACGTTAGTTAGCATTACAGCCTTGTCATTTTTATTAGCCTTAACATGAAGTAACATTAAGTAACCCAAAATGTTAAACAGTAAGAGTAGTAGTCATATTTCGTGAACCCTTTGAATAGTACTGTCACCGGTGTGATCATTCTATAATACACAATTTAAGCCCGGGGGAGAAATGCTAACGCTAACGCTAGCGATCTTCTCTACTTCATGCTATCTGCAAAAATGGTTGACATTAAACATTAAAACGACCAGGCAGTTCAGAGAGAATCAAAGGAAGGAAGGCAGGCAGCTTTGCATGACATTCTTCAGGACGTGTTTCATTGTAGTGATAGTGAGGGTAGTCTCTTGTGTTGACAAGACAGTAGTGACGGCCATCTTGGTGACGTGTGTTGTTGACCAGAGATCAGATGTAGTTCTTTGAGCGTTTCACACAAACAAATGTGTTACTTCACAGTTTTACGACACATTTTCTTTTTTTTGACTTGCAAAATTATCTTTTAAATTGACAAACAACATATGTGTAATTCATGGCACAATTCAAACGGGATCGAAAGATAATCTTTCTCTCTCCATTGACTTCAATACATAATTTTTCCGAAATAAGGTCCCATGGAGGTCCACCGGAAGGGGAGGGACTTCGCCACTCTATTGCCGTTCGAAAGCGCTGGAGACGTTGTAGTACATATGCCAGGCCTCTAGATGGTGCTGTTGCTCACAGAATCAACCCTTGCTAAAACAGATCTAAAAAATGTCAAATTGAGCAAAATGAGGCATGGCTAAAATGCATGATCTGTTTGGTATTTTGAAAAAAAAAAAGTATAAATATGCCTTATATAAGTATGGTCCTACACTATATTATTCAAATATAGCATGAGAGGTCCACTTTAAGGAAGAAGAGAGACCATTTGACTTTAAACCAGGAAGAACAAGAGTGGTTTTGCAGTTCTAGGCGACGAAGAATAGTATTTATCATCATATGTCTGGTTTATGTTGCATGACGTTTATATTTATGTATTTGCATGGCTGCGTTCGAGTCACTTTGCAATCTCGGCGCGGCTGCTTCTCTATCAACTTTCTGGCCTTTGCCATACCCGTCATTAACTATTATATCTGATGTGCTTCACAGAGGGTTGTTGCTTATTTTCATTTAACATGTATAGTGTAGTTAAAATATATAGCTTTTAATACAACACCTCAATAAAGTACACATCACATAATTAATATAACACAATGCATCAATATGCATAGATATGCATCAAAACAGATTATGATTTAGATTTACACAACTTTATAGCAACTTCAGGGCTTTTTAAACAAGCTCTTAAACACCTTAGCATTGAGCCGATTAAGCTTTGCATTCACTTTAGAGGCCATTGCTTATGGATTTGGATTGTCTTGCTTGTTTTTTGATGAACAAAGTAAACAAACTAATAGGATCATTAATTACTTCATTAACATTAAGATTATCAGTAATGACAAAGTAGAGTTCTCCTTCCTGGAGGAAAAATATTTTTCAGGTACCCAAAGATCTGCACAGGTATCACATGGAGCAGCAGTCAAAGCATAAAATACTGAGTTGAGGAACAAAGGCAAATTATAGAAAATGAGGAAGAAGAGAGTGTGAAAGAGAAAGACAGAGAGAGAGAGAGAGAGAGAGAGAGAGAGATGAGAGAGAGAGAGAGAGAGAGAAGAGAGAGAGAGAGGAGAGAGAGAGAGAGAGAGAGAAGAGAGAGAGACAGAGAAGAGAGAGAAAGAGAGAGAGAGAGAGAGAGTTAGAGGTGTATGCTGAGAGAATCATTAAATAAAGGAAGATCAGTGCCCTTTAAAGAAGACACTTTGACAAACACCATCAGCACTCTGCAGAGGCTCAACTGGTGAGATGGTTTCCCTTGAAGAAGAACTTGAGCTCTCCAATATATACGCAAACATTGAAGATGTTCCAGCCATGAAAGCTGCATCCCGCCGCTCTGTTGAAGACTTCAAGGTGCCTGCTGCAGCGCCTGGTAAGACAGAAATCCTCGACAAACAATTTGGAGCTGATTAGTTTACAATAACCTTATTTTCTAAAATTGATTTTAAATGTAAAGTTCATCATATATAGTATACAGTATATATATATTATGATCTTTAAGTTTACATTTTTTATTTTTTTTTCATATATATATATATTGCATGATAAATTAAAGACAAAATCAACATCTCAGTCTAAAGTGTAAGGTTTCTCAAACAGCCGCTTGTGCAAGTCAGCCTCCATAAACCTCCCTGTGTGTGCATGTTTCTGGGTTCTACACACAGGAATGAAAATGTACAGACTGGTTGTTGTGATTTTGGGACTCCTGTGTATCCTACAAGCTGCTCTCATCATTTACCTAAGTAAGTCTTCTTAATTTGTGCCTCTCACTTCTGTAGCCAGTGCAAGTGATAACCATCCCTGTTTCAATTATAATTTGTGCAAGATATGATGATCACTTGTTCTGAATGCTTTAGAAAAAAGAAAATCACTGTGTATTAGGGTGTGCAATATGACCTAACATTTTAAATATAAAAAGTTATTTACACAACTCAGGGAAATGTTATTAATATTCATTTCAACAGTATGTGTGAATGCATTTTTAATTCATTGTATTGAACAATAATTGCTCTGAAATAATTATAATCAAAACCAGCTCGGTTAATTTGTTTTAAAGTGAATACTTTCTTCAGTTGATCCAATTATCATAGTTGGTAACCTCTCCACTGAAAATAACAGTTTCACAGCAAAACTCCCTGACTGAAGAGAGAGACCAGATGAAGAGAATTAAGGGTCGTTTCTTCCTATAGTATAGGCAGACTGTGCGGATGCATAGGGCCCCCGCGGCCACTAGGGGATCCCCAAGCTGAAAGTTCAGGTTCAGCCCCCTCCTGTGTTCGGTGAAGCATTATATGCTTAAAAATCAAATGTAGGATATAAACACAATTAAACTGCAATGATAGCAAAGCTGTGGCTTGTGTTTTTGGGGGAATAAAGTCAAAATCATCGTTGAGCTGTTACCCAATGAGTGACGTCTGAGGAAGATGAAAAATGTAAATTATACATTGTTGAGAAAATGCTGCATCTCTTGCACTTATTGACGTAGAGGAGCCTTATTGTTTACCTTTTTAATATAATTCTTTGTACGTTTAAATTGCTTAATTTTCGTGAAATTAGCCTGTTTTCCTCTTAAAGTGTAACAGATGGATGCATCGGATCATCTTAAAGGCTTCGGAATCCGCCCATTGTAGTTAAAAAACTAGGGCCCACAAACAGCATCTTGCATAGGGCCCCCACAAAGCTAGAAACGGCCCTTGAATTAACTTTGGTAAGTATTAAGATGAAACTACTGCAATAATCAGGGGTTTGATCTGAAGGGGTAAATCGTACTTAATCAGTACCAAATATCACATTAGGTAACAATATATAATATTGTATTTATCTGAGGCTTTTATCCGAAGCAACCTACAATAGGTGCAATAAACCATAAAGATACAAACATCAAGAAACATGCATATCAGTGAGCATGCTGACTGATGCTAATCTCTGTAAAAAACTAATAGACGTCTTTGAAGTCACGTCCACACCGTAAGCGCTTCACATCCGGATAATGTTAGTTCATTTTTTTAATGTGTTACATTTACATTACTTATCTTACACATTTAAGAAGAGGAAATTATACATATGTTGTTGACAATGCCTTGGTTCTTTGTTTAGTGGCTGGAGGAGGGAACACAATATGTTTTTCTTCACAAATATACTTTGTTCAGTTATATACAAATATATAACTGAACTAAACATATCCTGTATTACTGATATGGTTCTGTTGAAAATAATGACAGCCTCTCCATACACCAGGACTGTTTAGCAGAAAGAATTTCCTGAAAACATGATATGGTGTTGGAATAAGAAAAGGAAACATGGATCCATACATTATCATTGATAGATTATAATATATAATGGGAATTCTGTTTTAGATCTGTAGGGAAAATTGAAAATGACAGTATCACAGCAAAACTCCCAGACTGAGGAGAGAGACAAGTTGAAGAGAATAAAAAAACATTTTAATATATGACTCAGGGAAAGGAATGAAACAATTACCCTTTTCAAAGCGTGTACTTCTTTTCTTTTTTTCTTTTTTTTTACTGAACTATAATTTGTGCTTTATTTTCAACAAAGCCAGCTCAGACATTTAGTTTTTACACTCAATCATATGTTTATTTGGACACATAATCACATTTTGTTGGTAACCTCTTTAATAAAATTGAAAATTAAGTTTCAGAGCAAAACTCCCTGACTGAAGAGCGAGACGAGTTGAAGAGAATCAACCTTGGTAAGTATTGAGATGAGACTTCTGCAATAATCAGGGGTTTGATCTGAAGGGGTATATCGTACTTAATCAGTACTAAATATCACATTAGGTTACAATATATTATATTTTATTATCTGAGGCTTTTATCCAAAGCAACATACAATAAGTGCAATAAACCATAAAGATACAAACTCAGAACATCAAGAAACATGCAGATCAGTCAGCATGCTAACTGACGGGCAACCAGCTAGTCAGTTAGCTAGTCAATCACGTAATTTCTGTAGAAATCTCTGGAACACGTAAACCTCTTTGAAGACACGTCAACACTTTAGGCTCTTCACATTCTGTTGATAATGATAGTTCATTAGTTTATGTTTTAAATATAAATTCTGGCTTATTTACACATTTAAGAAGAGGAAATGAAACAGATGTTGTTGAAAACGCCTTGGCTCTTTGTTTTGTGGCTGTAACACAATATTATTTTCTTCACAAATATACTTAACTGAACTAAACATACAATATACCGTAATACTTATCTGGTCCATTCAACAGGATTGTTTGGCAGGAAGAATTTCCTGAAAACATGATATGGTGTTAGATTAAGAAAAGGAAACAAAGACCCATACATTATCATTGATAGATTAACATAATAGACATTGGGAATTCTGTTTTAGATCTGGAGGCCAGTGGCAAAAACCTGACTGAGGAGAGAGATGACCTGAAGAGAACTGTGAAGGACTATGGTAGGTACAATGATAAGGTCAATTGTTAAAGTGAAAGACACACTTGAGCTTTGGACTCCTGTATTTTCTACAAGCTGCTCTCAATATTTCTCTCTGTTTTGCACTTTTAAAATCTTCTTAATTTGTGCCTCTCACTTCTGGTGCAAATGGTCAAGACCCAGGTTTGAGTATCAAACTATAGTTACCCTGATTGCTTTTGAGAAACGTATCCCTGTACATCGGGGTATACATACAATAGGATCAGAAATAAAATAAAATGTTTAATATATGACTCAGGGAAAGGAATGAAACAATTGCCCTTTTCAAAGCGTGTACTTGCTTCTTTTTCTTTTTTTTTACTGAACTATAATTTGTGCTTTATTTTCAACAAAGCCAGCTCAGACATTTCATGTTTACACTTAATCATATGTTTATTTGGACACATAATCACATTTAGTTGGTAACCTCTTTAATAAAATTGAAAATTAAGTTTCAGAGCAAAACTCCCTGACTGAAGAGCGAGACGAGTTGAAGAGAATCAACCTTGGTAAGTATTGAGATGAAACTTCTGCAATAATCAGGGGTTTGATCTGAAGGGGTATATCGTACTTAATCAGTACTGAATATCACATTGGGTTACAATATATTATATTTTTTTATCTGAGGCTTTTATCCAAAGCAACCTACAATAAGTGCAATAAACCATAAAGATACAAACTCAGAACTTCAAGAAACATGCAGATCAGTCAGCATGCTAACTGACGGGCAACCAGCTAGTCAGTTAGCATGCTAATCACGTAATTTCTGTAGAAATCTCTGGAACACGTAAACCTCTTTGAAGACACGTCAACACTTTAGGCTCTTCACATTCTGTTGATAATGATAGTTCATTAGTTTATGTTTTAAATATAAATTCTGGCTTATCTTACACATTTAAGAAGAGGAAATGAAACAGATGTTGTTGAAAACGCCTTGGCTCTTTGTTTTGTGGCTGTAAAAAGGGAATACAATATTTTTTTCTTCACAAATATACTTAACTGAACTAAACATACAATATACCGTAATACTTATCTGGTCCATTCAACAGGATTGTTTGGCAGGAAGAATTTCCTGAAAACATGATATGGTGTTAGATTAAGAAAAGGAAACAAAGACCCATACATTATCATTGATAGATGAACATAATAGACATTGGGAATTCTGTTTTAGATCTGGAGGCCATTGGCAAAAACCTGACTGAGGAGAGAGATGAGCTGAAGAGAGCTGTGAAGGACTATGGTAGGTACAATGATAAGGTCAATTGTTGAAGTGAAAAAGACACTTGAGCTTTGGACTCCTGTATTTTCTACAAGCTGCTCTCAATATTTCCCTCTGTTTTGCACTTTTAAAATCTTCTTAATTTGTGCCTCTCACTTCTGGTGCAAATGGTCAACACCCAGGTTTGAGTATCAAACTCTAGTTACCCTGATTGCTTTTGAGAAATGTATCCCTGTACATCGGGGTATACATACAATAGGATCAGAAATAAAATAAAATGTTTAATATATGACTCAGGGAAAGGAATTAAACAATTGCCCTTTTCAAAGCGTGTACTTGCTTCTTTTTCTTTTTTTTTTACTGAACTATAATTTGTGCTTTATTTTCAACAAAGCCAGCTCAGACATTAGTTTTTACACTCAATCATATGTTTATTTGGACACATAATCAAAAAATGTTGGTAACCTCTTCACTAAATTGAAGTTTCAGAGCAAAACTCCCTGACTGAAGAGCGAGACAACCTGAAGAGAATCAACCTTGGTAAGTATTGAGATGAAAGATAAGATAAGATAAGATAAGATAAGACTTTATTAATCCCGAAGGAAATTGTTGTGCCAGAGTTACACAAATACAATAAACACAGCAGCATAATAGTAAAACTGTACACTTAAAAGTGCAGTAAAAAGAGCAATTAAATATCTACAGGAAACATGAAACATAGACGGTCACATAATTAATGTAATTATTACCAGTATTTAGTAGTGCAAAAACTACTGCAATAATCAGGGGTTTGATCTGAAGGGGAATATCGTACCTAATCGGTACTGAATATCACATTAGGTAACAAAATATAATTTAATTTATCTGAGGCTTTTATCCAAAGCAACCTACAATAGGTGCAATAAACTATAAAGATACAAACTCAGAACATCAATAAACATGCATGCTGACCGACGTGCAGCGGCTAGTCAGTTAGCATGCTTATCTCTGCAGAACAACATATAGATGTTTTTGAAGTTACGTCAACATCGTAAGCTCTTCACATTCTGTTGATAATGATAGTTCATTTTTTTTACGTTTTAAATTTAAATTACTTATCTTACACATTTATACAGAGGATATGATACAGCTGTTGTTGATAACGGTGATCACAATATTTATTTTCTTCACAAATATACGTAACTGAACCTAACATATCCTGTATAACTGATATGGTTCTGTTGAAAATAATGACAGCCTCTCCATTCAACAGGACAGTTTAGCAGAATGAATTTCCTGAAAACATGATATGGTGTTGGAATAAGAAAAGGAAACATGGATCCATACATTATCATTGATAGATTAACATAATATACAATGGGAATTCTGTTTTAGATCTGGAGGCAAAATTGAAAATGACAGTTTCACAGCAAAACTCCCTGACTGAGGAGAGAGACAAGTTGAAGAGAATCAACCTCGGTAAGTATTAAGATGAAACTACTACAATAATCAGGTTTTTGATCGGAAGGGGTATAAGGTATACTACATTGGTGGTGTATATGAAAGAAATAAAGGTGTACTTTCTCAGGCAGAACACTGAAGTGACACAAAGAAAACACGATTTGAACAACCCCAAGTGGTCAGAAAATTTATAAATGGTGTATCTTTGCTCATAAACCCTCTGGGAAATCATTTCAGGTTTGTCATTGATAACACCTCAGCTCTTTTGTAGCTGTAAGAGGGAATACAATCATTTTTTCATGCTAAATTTAAACTAAACTTAACAAAACAAACTACTACTAACCTGATTCTTTGAAAATAAAAACGTCTCACTCAAAATGACAGCATTAAAAGGAAACAAACATCACAATAGAATTTCTTTTTCAGATATGGTGGCAACTAACAAAAACCTGTCTGAGGAAAGAGACGATCTGGGGAGGACTCTGAGAGCCGGGGGTAAGTCTGATAATGAAATCCATTGTTCAGCCGGTGGGCCTTATGTCATATGGTAGATACCACTTTGGCACTTGACATAGTAGATTAAGCATCTGGTAATTTATGTATTAATGTTTTATCGTTTCTTCTGTTTTCCACTATTCTTATCAAGGATGGAAGTACTTCAGCGGTAGTCTCTATACAGTTTCTTCTATCCGGAAAAACTGGCAAGAGAGTAGGGATGACTGTCTTCAAAAAGGGGCAGATCTGGTGATTATCAACAGCCAAGAAGAACAGGTGAGTGTGTGTGCGTGCGTGTGTGTGCGTGTGCGTGCGTGTGTGTGTGTGTGTGTGTGGTGTGTGTGTGTGTGTGTGTGTGTGTGTGTGTGTGTGTGTGTGTGTGTGTGTCTGTGTGTCTCTGTGTGTGTGTGTGTGTGTGTGTGTGTGTGTGTGTGTGTGTGTGTGTGTGTGTGTGTGTGTGTGTGTGTGTGTGGTTTGTATGTGTGTCACAGAAGTGGTTGACAGCATGTCACGGTTTATATAGTGGTTGTGATTGTGCGTTTTTCTCTCCACAACAAGGACTACATAATAAGTTTTCCTAACAAGGTGTGGATTGGACTCACTGATCGAGAGACAGAGGGCAGATGGAAGTGGGTCGATGGGACCCCACTCACCACAAGGTTCACTCATTATTTCACTTTTCTATTGTCATGGTGAGCTGTGACAGACACTCGCTCTGCAGCTTCATGTCATAATTATGTTATTTTTATGATGTGTATATTAGTAACCCAACCTCTGAACACAACTACATGTGATGTCCTTTAAAAGCTTATTTCATGTCAGATAACAAACCAGACATAGGATAGACATTTATTATTCTATCTCTATCAATCTCAATAAAGCATTTTGATTTGAGTTGATGTCAGGTTGAAATGTATTATTATTATTTTTCCTTTGGGGGTTTCAGCTACTGGCACACCGGTGAGCCAAATGGAAGTTCGAAGCTGGACGAAGACTGCGCAGAAATATCTTACACAGGTGTAAACAGCTGGATAGATAATCATTGTAGTGATAATAGAATAGGATGGATATGTGAGAAGAGATTGGCATAACTCCACATCTAGTCCCACAAAACGATGATGAAAAAACAGGAACAAGTTGCATTTCTCATTTTTCAGCTTAAATTCAAATGTGAATATCCAGGTGGGGGAGGGTTTGGACTCTCACGTAGATATCTGGAGTCACGTCATGTCTCATGTCTCATGTCGTCATATATTTAGAATCAATGTTCACTTTTTAAAAACTGTAATTGCAATTCCTAAAAGTGTATTTGTTTTTCTGCTTTTGAGATTATAATATTGGCTGCCTGCTTTTAGATTCTATTATTTAAACTTGAAATCATGTCCTAGTTTTGTGTCTTAGAGATGTAATGATTTTATTTTCTATTCAAAATCAATGACTCATAAGTCATATGAGAAATTAATGTTGCAACAAGAGCAGTTCTCAAATTATAGAGGGAAGTGCAATTTTGTACCCTAACCACATCTTCTCCCTTCTGGGTAAACTATGCTTTCAATGTTATCCTATTTTTTATTTTATTAAAAAAAGAATTCAGAGTGTGTTGTAAAGAAGTCATGTCAGTACTTGTTGGCATACTACTGGATGATTATGTAAGTTAACGACAGAGGTTTATTTTACACCGGATATTGGTGATTATGTCATTGTGGATGTGGTCAAAAAGTGATATTTTGAAAAATGGTCAAACTAATAACTAAGGGTAGAGTTTAGTCATTTAGATAATAACAAATTAAAAAACATGAAATGTCTGATTATGTGTCACTGATAAACAACAATAATGATGATTTTCTTTGGAATAAAAAATAAATGCGTGAATTGTGAATAAAAGTCCAAATTACACAAGGTACACAAGAATCAATACGTCAAAGCTGCAGCAGAGGTTGTAACAGCAAGCGAGTTGTGAACATTAAGGAAGAAGAGAGACCATTTGAATTCAAACCAGGAAGAACAAGAGGGGTTTTGCAGTTTTAGGCGATGAAGAATAGTATTTATTATCATATGCTTATGTCTGGTTAATGTTGCATAATGTTTATATTTATGTAAGTGCATGGCCGCGTTCGAGTCACTTTGCAATCTCGGCGCGGCTGCTTCTCTATCAACTTTTTGGCCTTTGCCATACCCGTCATTAACTATTATATCTGATGTGCTTCACAGAGGGTTGTTGCTTATTTTCATTTTATATGTATAGTGTAGTTAAAATATATAGCTTTTAATATAACACCGCAATAAAGTACACATCACATAATGAATATAACACAATGCATCAATATGCATAGATATACATCAACACAGATTATGATTTAGACTTATACAACTTTTTAAACCAGTTCTTAAAAACCTTAGCATTGAGCCGATTAAGCTTTTCATTCACTTTAGATGCCATTGCTTATATATCGACTCGTTGTTTGTAGATATCTACTAAACTAAAGCATACCAATAAAGAGAGTAACGTAGGCCTGTTATACTGAGTGATATATATTATACACACTGCTATACTTTCTGCACGGACCTCACAGCTGTTTTCACTGTAAACATCGCGTCGTAGCAGTTAATAAAATAATATCCAGGGGATGCATGCAGAGCTGTCATTGGCTGAGATATGTCCGGCCGTGCGTCACGACTCTTTTAAACATCACTGTTGCCGGAAGTGTATCCTCGATTATAGCTCCTCCAGGGAGCCTCCTCAATCCTCGGTCCTCGAATTGCATTTAGAGAAATTAGATGTCCTTCAACATGGCACGCTGAAATCCATTTCCGGGTCACTACCGGAGGACCGAGGATTCGAGGAGTCGAGGAGGGGAAATTAGTGAAATGAGAAAGGGCCCCTGACTGAGGAGCTAGATGAGTTGAAGAGAATCAACTTTGGTAAGTATTAAGATGAAACTACCCTAAAGTCAGGGGTTTGATCGGAAGGGGTATAAGCAGAGTTGGGTGTAACGCGTTACAAAGTAACGCGTTACACCTCAGGAGACAGAGGACAGCCATAGTCAGAGCTATCTGGATCAGTCTTATGCGACAATGGAAACTGAACTAAAGAGAACATTTGAAACTTTAGCAGTCTGCGTGATCTGCCTGTAGGGAGGGGCGGGCCTGCGAGTAAAGTAACGAGTAAAGTAACGAATAAAGTAACGAGTTACTTTATGTAGAGAGTACCGAAGTAGTGTAATATATTACTTTTTTTTAAAGTAATATGTAATATGTAATATATTACTTTTTTTTAGTAACGACCCCATCTCTGGGTATAAGGTATACTACATTGGTGGTGTATATGAAATAAATAAAGGTGTACTTTCTCAGGCAGAACACGGAAGCGACAGGTGTTTGTGTGGTACAGTGTGTGTGTGTGTGTGTGGTGTGTGTGTGTGTGTGTGTGTGTGTGTGTGTGTGTGTGTGTGTGTGTGTGTGTGTGTGTGTGTGTGTGTGTGTGTGTAGATGCAGCAAATAGACAGGTCTCAGTTGGTTTGGTGTAACAACAACACACTCTCACTCCATAAACGTCCAGGAACGACGCTTGGTCAGGGTCCCGAGGCGTGCAGTTGGGACGCTCCTAGGCTCCTTCAGCTTCATAAACAGACGCAAATAGCTTTCAACTGATTGCAATGTATTCCCATCTGCGGCGGGATTTGACGCTCATGGAAGCACGGCATTCGTTTGTGTCGGAGGCTGTTAAAGGCAATGTGACCGTCCATTCCCATTGGATAACGGAGAATTTTACACCCGGAAGTAAGTATTCCCCTTACTGTCGATTGATTTGACAGTGATATCTCCACTACTCATCAACTCAAAAACACCAGATTATCCTTGTTAATTAAACGACATTGATAGGTTTTAGTGTGTGTCCAATGCTTTTGTCACGTTTTCCCCTTCAATTCTGAGAAACAAGTCGTTTTCTATGAGTTTTGGATGGCCGAATACATTACATTACCCACAATCCTCTGTAGCAACCATAGACTGTATATTGCAACAGGCAACCGCTTCGGTTCATGTAATTTACAAACTCTTCAACTACAACCGTAGTTATATTTAAAAACATGTTAGAAGGCCTCACAAAATACTTTAATGTAAATTTAAATTTAAATGTGAAGGAATGTGTGTATATTAACTGTGGGTTTTTCTCTGGAAGTTTTTCCTTGTATGATGTGAGGGTCAAAGGACAGATGATGCAGTTTTTCTCATACTGATATTCCGCTATGCACGCTGGGATTTGGTGTTAATGCGATGTGAAATCCGAAAACATTAAAAAAAAATGAAATAATACATTATTCCGAGTGTGCTTGCTTTTCTCTTTGAAAGTCATCACATAACGGCATTGTAATACACGTTTCGGCTGCATTAAATATTACATATCTGCCGTAGTTAACTCTATTTATAGAGCCATGATGAGAACACTTCTAGACAAACAGGAACTGCCGCCAAAACTGAAAACTTGACGTGGATCTTAAATATATAAGCAATTAAACAACATCTTACATTTCTTTTCACACAATACGTCTTGCAGTATCAACACTAATTCGGCTGACTTTTATATTTGATCCAATTGGTAGATAGGCTGTATTTACGCCATAACGGTGCACAGCTGATAGAAAGGGATTTTTTTTGTAGTTTTTAAAGATATTATTTACTGAACTACCTTTCCAACTCCTCATGCAGTTGACTGTTACAGGGGAATATATCCGGTATTATTATGAAAACTTCGAGACCGGAAAAACTGTTTTCACCCACGCTAACTTTACATGGAAGCTGCATACACGTTATCCTGGCGAGACCTCAAATCATCTTTGTAATATCTATCAAACTATAGATCCTACACATCGACTGGACGTGGATTCTAAGAGTACAATATACACTTCTCGCCAGAAATCGAATCAAAAAGCATTTTAATGGCCAAACTATTCCACAATTTAGGATTTTCCAGAGAGGGTTATTTGTGAATATACGACCCT